GTCGTTCACCCGCCATTACGCATAACGCATGGTAGGCTTTGGAGCCAGCTAAAAGATAAATGATACACGGGCGGCCAAGATAAGAAAAGTGGTGGTGGAAAGTTTCTGGTGCTCCAGCCAGCCAGTGTGACAGGGGCCTCTCTGTCGTTGGTTGGCTTTCGTGCCAGTGAAATGAAATCTGGAAAGGAGAGTGTTTTACGAGCAAAATCAGTTATCCTGTGCAGTAAAGTTGTTAACAGTGCTGCTATTTGTAAGTTTGCCTATTGTATTCGCCAATATAGGGATGGGTCAGATGAAATCTTTGTGGTGGTTGACGTTTTCGAAATAGGCAAGATCCGCCGGTAGGGCAAAAGGCAATGACTTTATTTAGTGGCGAATCATATCCGCCACAATACAATATTGGTAAGCAGACATACGTGACATTTCATAGGGAGCTTACAGCGCGAAAACCCATCATCGCCGAAATATTAGCTGGGGTGTGAATAGCCCAAACATCCAGCTGGCACCAAGTGGAGGTTCTTCGGCAAGTCAGCCGCGTGTGGCTACACAGAGTCACCAATTAAATTGCAGTCTAGTGCTTTTCCGGGCATGTGGACGATTATCTGATTTGGAAACTGACTGCGATGGACCTCACATAAATTGCAAACGACTGCGAAAGTTTTATTTTGTTTCCGTAATCAAGTCAATCGCTAAACGTTGGTCAATTGGAGATATTTACATTTATATTATATTCCATAATTTAGCTAAAGACTGGTTTTTAAATAAATAAATAAATAAACTTTTATTCTCGACCATGCGAGACACACCTTAACAGGCATGATCATGTTTAGCTAACAGTGTGATCAAAAATGTACAAAAGTACATGTTTGGCATAACAGCGTATGTAAGTGTATGGGTGTATATACGTATGTAATTGTGTATGAATGTAGCTTGTATCTTTGATTGTGCCGCAGCATTTTTGACTGTTTGTTGTCGTCAGGAATGTGAGCATAAGCGATTGATGTCCTTGGGTTGGATAGCACTTTCCGGATATCCGCGGGCCGGTGACTTTATTTTGTGGCGAGTCACATCCGCCACGTCGCAGTGTTGATAAGCAGACATTTGTGGCTTTTTATAGGGAGAACGCTTGCCAGGCGAAAACCCACCACGTCCTGGAACACTGTCTCCGAACTATTTGCTGGAACGGGTTAAACCCGAACCACCCAGCTGGCACCACGAGGAGGTTGTTCGGCTAGCCAGCCAGCCCTTTCCTCTCTAACCTCAGCGTAGTGGCGCTCAGGGTCATCTATTAACCTTGAAAACATGAAAATACTTCTTAGTTTACCAATTTTATTGGCAGTTTAGGCGGTTCTATTGAGTCTGCCATTTGCACAATATTAAATCGTTTTGCTTACCGTCGTGGAAGATTGTTTTTATCCCTTTCTCACCCCTCCTACGTTCATCGCTACGTATTCGCTTCCATAAGCTTGCCTTAAATCGGGACGCATAGGTGCTAAGATATACTCCGCTGAAAGTGGTATCAATTACATCAAGCTGTTGGCTCGAGGGCTCAGTTGCACAACCTAATTGCCTGTAAATTTGATCATTCCTGAGCTTAGTTTATTTATTTATAATGCACTATATTTAACAAGGCTCCTGTTTCGGGATTCCAAATAATAGCGCACAAACGCAGGGTTATACACTGAAAAAGAAAACACGAATATCAACGGAAGTTCCGATGAAACTATACCCTGAAAACTAGCATACTGTGGTACCCACGCTCTGGAGTTTGGGAACTACTACTCCTAAAGTTTACTTTATTCTTACGGGAGCATGGAACTATCCTACGAAACGATGTGGGCCCTTGCGAGCACAGCTAGTTTCAGACGTCTAGAAATACATGCTTTTATTTATTTTATTTTAAGTCATCCTCCTTCTCTCCGTACTGCAAAGATAAATAACAGATAACGAGTGGCTCCCGCGAAAATGCGCAGTTTCAGAAACAAGCTAGATGACATTGCACTCCTTAGTGTTGTACAGCAACCGGACCTAACGGCGTTCACCGTAACCCGGATGCCATCTGATATATCTGACTTGGTGGTTCATATTTCAGGACCTAATATATTTTGATGCGATCGCCTAGGTGGAAGGTCTGGAGGCGGAGTAATGCTATGCCTATTGAGCTGCCCAAGACCCCTCATTGTCGAACCTGGTTGCTTCAAGGATGATGCGTCAGAAGTACACTGGTGTCGGTTTCAGGACGTATAAAAATCGCTGATTATGGCTGTAGTCAACGGAGTTCCTGCAGGACCTAGCGCACACCTATTACGCTCTGAACGAACCCACGACAGGGTCACAAAGTGTCTGCTAAACGGTGACTTCAACGCCCCTGACATAACGTGAGACCTTCACAGTTATCTCCCACCGGACTCCATTAAATTTCACCTCCTTGAGGCGTTCCTGGGTGCAATCGGACACAACAACTACTCACACCAACACGGGTTGTCCCCGGGCGGACGCCAAACATTATAGACTTGGACGCACCTTGGCCCCAGCTGCTGTCGCAGAACTAACGAACTTCTGACCTCTAACGAAAAGTGATCAGTGTACAGACTCCTTTTCGTGGACCCAACGCCTCACCACCTGCGAGCAGGGGGCACTGCGTCAAATTTTCTGGCGCAATGACCAGCACAAATTAAGAATTGCAGTAAGCACCATGACTTGGAGTAGTCCGCTATCCTTGGAGCTTGATGGCGCATGGGAACGCCTACGATCTATCATTGTGCTGCTTATTGAACACCTTGTTCCAAAATAAAGAAGCCGATCACCATCAAAAGGATCCCATGAATTGATAAAGAAATAAGCTCCTTAATGCAAAACGACGAAAACTATGGGACCACTTCAGGCTCACAGGACTGACATCCAGCTGCTCAATGTACAAAACTGTCGGAAATCTAAGCACCCTGAAAAAAACGAGACAAAAGACTGCCTGGACTGTCAATGGAATCCAAAAACGGTCCCAAAAGCTTTAGGTCGGACAGAACCTGTTCCAAAACAGATAGTGGAATCCTTGCTCTAGCTTCTGCTGAGGAAGGTACCGTTCTTTACGGCGAGGCTTCACACTGTTCCTCGGTCTACTTTGCGGAAGCACCGCCGCTGAACAAATGTTTGCCTGCACACTCCCTGGACCAAACCGTTATTTTCCCCGAATTAGTAACTAAGCTAGTTCTTGTACTGAAGCCGAACTCCTCCCAGTGCCCGGATGGATTGTATCCCAAGTTCCGCAAAGGGAGAGCTGAGTACACCGCCACCTCTCTCTACCAAGTATTGCAGCACTCCCTCGGAGTCGGTCGACCACACACAAGCTGGAAAGCCGTTACGGTACTGCCAAAATACAAGGGTCAAGCAATAAACTTCAGCGAACTACTGGCCAATTTGCCTGACATCAGTGGTATGCAAAACTATGGGAGGAATAGTCAAGCGCGCCCTTCGGCTACATTGGGTGAGACTATACTTCATGCTACGCGTTCAGCAAGCTTCCGGAGAGCACGCTGATGCATCTCTAACATTAGCATCGTCAGGGAAACCAGCGCAGAATCCCTAGATGCCCGGAACCAGGTCGACTTAAGATACATTGACTTTGGTAAAGCATTCGATAAACTTCCACACGTACGATTGCTACCCAAACTCCAGGGCATCGGCATTGCAGTAAAGTTTCTCTCCTGAATTGCCGATTTCTTAAGTGGTAGGACCATGCACGCACAAGAGAAGCAAACCTTCTCCGCTCCTGTGCCGAGGACTAGTGGACTTCCCCAAAAATGCATGCTTGGAGCAGAGTCCTACAAACACCACAGCAATCACTGTACTTCAAACCGACCGCTTGATCTATTCGGATGACCTCAAGCTACAGCCAACAGTATCCAGCCTTTTGGATGCGGACAGCTTACAAGGGCATCTAAACCAGTTGCACGAATGTTCCATCAAATGGAGATATGTGCGCCAGTTTCCCAAGGGGTAGCGCTGAACAGTACTGTGCATATCCCATTTTTTGGTTTCATCATAGCAACACCACCCACCAGGCGATCACGGGGTTGTCGTGAATTCTGACATTAGAACGACGCAAGACACGTTGAGTAAAGTGGCCACTGGAAGAACATTAGTTGGTGCCTTAAGAAGATAATTCGCTCGAATGACTCCAGTGAAGTTTCAAACTTTGTTTACCACTTTCGTCCAGTCTTAGAATATGGCCTTACAGTTATACATCCGCCATCAAAGATTAAATGCGCTCTACTGGAAAGCATTCGGAGATGTGCAATGGAGGCCGTTCTGGAACATAGTGATCTTCTGTACCCCATTCTTCTCCAGAAGCTAAAGCTTTTCTCCCTGGTGTTCCGCGGTCGCCGGAATGATCTCATCTACACAAGGCGGATTCACCGGCCTAACGTGGACCTTTCCACACGAGCTCACACACGGAAGCCGTTTAAGTAAAGAAGACACAGAATCCGCATGGACATCACCCAATCAACTAACGTGGTAAATGCTTGGAACTGCCTAACGGAAGTAACTGTAGACCCGCCATCCGAGGAAAGATCCAAGCGGCTGCTAGACAAACATCCGCTGAGAACGCTGGAAGCTAGCGGCTGTTACTGAGTTTGCGGCGAACCCATGAGGAAGGTAGTAACGTAACGACAAGCGTCAAACTCATTACGATGCAGAATCCATGGGGCTGACATGGGTTTTTCTCTCCTGCTCTCCAAAACAACTCGGTAGAAGGCAGGTTTCCGGGCAAATGAAAAAAATGGCCATAAAAAATAGAATGCTACACGAATTAGAAAGTCAAAGGGCATATTAAAAAAGAACTATTGAAGCAAACTACGTACAGGGTTTGATGTCAGCCACACGAGATTTATGCAGTTCCTTAAAAAGTTAATCCAATAAAAACGCTTGCTTATTTCTTTAACTTCGGTAGCTTTTTCTTTTGCTTTTGCACTACATGCCTTCGTTTAACCGGACCATTGGATGTCCTACATGAACTTTTAGATGGGTTACAACGTGTTCAATCTTTGAAATATGCTTTTTTTCTTTATTTGCGCGTTTTATGTGCTCCCGCAATTGTTTTGCAGTACAAACGACCACTCTGTCATTGGTGAGTCTAGGTCTCTACTGGATTTTGCGTTTTGGATTTTGTTGTTTAGCGTACTTAATTTTCGATGTGGTAGGTGTTCACTATGCGGAGGTCTAAGTGCCTGATATTCATTTTGCTAGCTGCTGTGCATGTTACCAGGTACACTTTTTAGTCTGCATGTATCCATTACAATTAAGCGACTGGACACTTAATTATGGTTGCCACCTGTGCTGTTTTTTCGGCACATGTGGAGGCTGCTGTCGACCCATGTTACCCATTGGCACCAATTCTCGACGAGCGCAGTGTCCAATGGGTAGCAGATAAACGCTCGAGTGGCAAATCATTGTGTCACTCCTCGAGCACTCTCCGTGAAATATTGAGCGGGTTCCACTTCGAACGTTCAGTTTTCCATAGATGTTGCAACATAACAGAATAATCTAGCTACATTTACTCCCTTCCCACCACCATCGGCTATACCTCATTGCAATTTAAAAATCTAGGGACATGCACTACGGTGTAGGTAATTTACGGACCGGAACCTTGCTACGTAAACTTTTATGTCTACTTCTGGATCTACCTTGCCCTCCATTCAGTCTTATGTTTGGTTTACTTTATCGGTATATAAACTGACGTATTTTACGATCGCCTGATGAGCGTCTGGCATCGGGCGCTGAAGTTATCGGTGGTGCTAATGGGGTAGGCGCGTTTTCGCTCACACATATTTAGAAGGAAAAACATTTTTGTCTAGATATTGTATTACATAATATAGTACTTTATTTACGGCACTGATCTTAACATATAAGTCATTACTTTTCATACAATTGCGCATTTGGTCCTCGCGAATCACCGACTGACTGCCGCTGATTGACCGATTTGTATACCCTTTCTATCCGACTGTGACACATTTTGGCCCCATATCGAGCCTAGCTAACCGTTTACGAAGGCGCAGCACCGTAGTGCTCTCTCACTGGGACGGCGAGGGGCACTAAACATGGTCACATAGGGTACCCTGCATAGCACGATTGACTGCGAAAATTCCGCTGGAGCGACGATTGGAGCGCCCTGAGTGACCGCTTTTTATTCCTCATACCCTCTCAGTTGGACACATTTGTGATGAATTTCGGTTACGCAGAAGACTTATTCAACGCACACTTAACATACATCGTGGATGCAGTTTTCCTCTTGAAATTGCTGTCAACAATATTCGGAAAACGATTCCCCATATTTTGCTTGCGCGATACTGGAAGCATTAACGCCACGCCGAACATTTTTCGTGTGACCGAAATTCGTCTCGATTGTGTCCAGCTGGAATGACCAGGGCCATGAAATGGTCACTCTGCGCATCGACACGGTCATTGACGAAGACTAAAATTACGTTTTTTTAAAAAAATTATAAGCTCAAGGACAATTAAAAGCAGCGTTGTAGATGTATCATTTTATTTTACAAACATATCTGAACATATACCGTTCAATTTCATATTCACTTTTTGCCTTTGCACTTGACCAAAAACGCCGAAATAGAGCGCTGGCCGTCCATCTTTGCGGGCTCTAACTGTCGCTTCAGCGTCTACCATTCAGTCATTCGTTCTACGCGAATTGTTTATCACTGTGATTTCCACACATTTTAGCATGAGTACCGATCGATGCATACAGTATTGACCGTTAAGACGAATTGAGAGACCAGTTTACTTTATTTCAGTCATACCAGTGCGACATCTTGGTCGCATAACGGTCGCGCAAGAAAACCTACGTAGGGTTAATATATGTTGGGAGTATTCTTTTACCTGTTGCAAATACCGTCCACATTCCTCGGAAATCGGTTCTAATATTTTCACAACACGGTACTGATGATGTAAGGCTGCGCTCAAACAAGTTTTAAGTAAAAAATTCGTGTAACAAAATACTTCACTAGGACGGCCATGTGCGCTTTAATTTTTCAATCATCGTAGTCGATAGGTCATTCACACTGGTTATATGTATCACTATATTAAAGTTTAGTGACACGTCTTAAGCGCCAGCGGTTAAGGTTAGGCCAAACGAAGCGTTCGGTTACGAGTTTCTGGGAAGCACGTATACCGTGATGAAACATTGTGTAGTGCACTAAAAACTACTCGGCACATTTTGTAGTAACTCCTGGGCGGGGAGAGGTTTGCGAAACCTCACGACTAATAGTCCCCCAGATGAGGTCAGTGGAATGTCACGTGGTTTCGAAGAGGTGCTGCGTTGAAGCTTGTCTATATCGGGATCAGTTTGTTGGGTTGCAGCTATGGCGGCTAAATGGCGGCTGTTGGTTTTCGGTGCTAAGCTGGTCAGGTGGATTCATGTAAGAGCATCTGCAACAGGGTTGAGAGCACCTGAAACTTGTCGCATGTCAGTCGTAAACTGAGAGACATAGCTTAGGTGTCTAGTTTCCTGCGATGAGTGCTTGTCTGTTGCGCCATTGATTGCTTAGGTCAATGGTTTGTGGTCAATGGAGTCTGGGAAATGTCGGCCTTCGGAATAGTAACGAAAACGTCGAACACCTAGGTAGATAGAAAGTGGTTTTCTACCGAATACGCTGTAGCTCGTTTCGTTAGGTTGCAAATGTTTCGAGAAGAAACCAAGTGGTGTCCATCAGTGCTCAATAAGCTGTTGGAGGACCGCACTGATGGCGGTGTCTGAAGCGTCGAGTGTAAGAGAAGGGCGCAGTTGTGTCTGAGTAAGCGAGCAGCGCTATGTTGAAGATAGTGTTATTGAGCTTCTCAAAAGTCAGTTTAGCGTCGTCTGGGAAGGGCAAAAAGCGTTGCTTACCGCAGAGCAAGTCAGTCATTGGTTGCAGTATGCTCGCGCAGTTGGGAATGAAGCGTCGGTCGTAGTTGAAAATTCCAAGGTATCGGTCTAGCTGTTTGAAAGATTTAGGAGCAGCACACTCCTTCAGTGCTGGATTCTGTTTGGCGGAGCTTCAATACCAGACGACGATATCTTATAGCTAAGCAAGTTAACGGGGTTTTGGCCAAGTTCGCATCTGTCGGCGTTGACAATAACCCAATATTGCGTCAATCGTTCGAAAAGAGCGTCAATTTGACGAATATGTTCTTCGTTACGAGCTGGCAGTGAGCATGTCTTCTAAGTATAGATAAGTGCCTTCAACTCCTCGTGTTACCTCAGGAATGAAACGCTGAACGGTTTGAGCAGCGTTGCTAAGGCCAAACGAAATTCTGAGACATTCGAATAGGCCAAACGATGTGAAAACTGCTGTTTTAGATATATCGTCTGGCGCCACAGATATTTGATGGTAGACGCGCACTAGGTCTATTTTGCTAAAGATCAACTTATCAGCCAAAGCTGAGACTAAGTCGTGCATATGTGGGATGGGGTACTTATCCTGGACGGCCACTCTGTTGAGTGCCCTGTTATCACCACAGAGACGTTAGTCACCGGATTTCTTTGGTACTATCTATAATGGTGATGTACATGAATTCTTGGACAGGCGGCAGATTCCAAGTTCAAGCTTTTGCTCGAATTCCGCCCTGGCCGGTTTGAGCGTGTCCGGGACAGTCTGCGAGGGTGGATGAAACCGGTGGACCCATAGTGCAGATATGATGCATGGCGTTTGACATCACCGGAGGTAGGTCGCTCTGTGTGCGAATGAGTTTAGGATTTTGGTTGAAAAGATCCATAAAACACTGTGAAACTGGAGGTGGGACACAAGTAGGGGTGCTAGCGGCCACGTTAGCGCTAGTCTCGATAACACTAAGATGTGTCCCAGAGTCAATAGACCTCTGCCTTTTAGCTCCCATCCTTAGGTCAAAACGTTGGAGAAAGCATATGCTTATGACAGTGAAAGGCACGGCCACTGCCATAAAAGCCCAACGAAGGGTTCGCCTTAGGCCTAGATAGAGAGCCGCCACTCACTGAAAGTTGCGATTAGTGCACGTTTGGCGACACCTAGTTTGGTCGGCGAGGGTGTGACCACTTCATTTGGGCTATGAGGTATGACGCCAACTTCGGCTTCAGCGTCTACTACGAACTCGGTACCGTAAGTTAAATCTCTAACACGGATGCGCTGACTTTGATTTTGACCGGTCGCGTCCGTCGCCATTACGGGCCTGCCGAGAAGTTTCCCTGCTTCTGGGCGAAGATGCCTGGTTTGGCGCATTTGAGGGCTGTGTTGCCAAAACGCTGGGGATACCAACAGTAACATAATCTATTGATAGACAGCAACGGGTCATAATGAGCTGTTGGACTTGGCGCAACTTGTGGTTAACTATAAGTAGTAGTAGTGGTAATCTCAACAGTCTATTAAGCAGACACAGAACCAACATAAAACCATGGAGATCAGTGGATAAGCAAGAGTCATCGCGTCATAATCATCGTGGCATGGTAGTTGAAGGTGTGCAACACACTACAGCTAATATACCGTAGGAAGAATGGAACATTTCGACAAAAGTAAAACAAAACATTTTTAGTTTGTTGGAGACCTTCTAGAGCATTCGACAGAACGTCTTCGATTGCGAAGTTGAAGAGGAATAAGGACATAGGGCAGCCCTGTCGCACACCGCTATTGACAGCGAATTGCGAGGAAAGCTTGCCATAGACCCTCACTCTGCCGGATGTATGAAGATAAAGTGCTCGTAAGATGGCGGTATATTTCTCTGGCACCCCGTATTTTAGTAAGCAACGCCATAAAGCAGGTCGATCAACGGAGTCAAAAGCGTCACGTATGTCTAGGAATGCAATGATAGTGGGCCTGTGATAAATGTGGCGATGTTCGAGGAGCTGGGGGAGCGTGAAGATTTGATCCACGCATCCGCGGCCAGGACGGAAACCAGCTTGTTCTTCACGGTATTGTGAGTCACGTACTGGGGATAGTCTGCGAAGCAAACTGGATGCCAATAGCTTAGAGGCAACTGAAATAAGGCTAATCCAGTGATGATTTGCACATGAAGTGCGAGCGCCTGTCTTGAAAATCGGGACAATAACTGATTCGCCCCAAGAGGAAGGCACTTTTTCATGCCAAATTTTTGCTAGCAGCGCGATCAGCTGGTTAATGATCGCCACACCGCCGTACTTGAATAGTTCCGGAAGAAGTCCGTCTTACCCGGCAGCCTTGAAGCGCTTCAAGCGTCGAATTCTGAGGCAGACTTCTGCTTCGCTGGGTGGATTCAGTGGGACGAGCCAGGGTGTATAACAAGGTGTACTGCATTTACTGATGGATGGTGGAGGCCAGTTGAACTGCGAGTGAAAGTGCTCGGCCCAGCGGTCCATATGCCTCTCTTGGTTGTTGATCGGAGACTCATCCACCTCACAAATGACCTCACTGACACCAGGCTTCCTGAGGCCAGTGGACCGAATGAGTTGGAAAAGTCTGCGAGTGTTGCCAGAGAGGGCAGCGGTCTCTATCTCTAAAGCACGCTCAGATCACCATGTCTCGCGATCCTTGCGTAGGCTTTGCTTGAGCAGCCGGTTAACAGAACTGCACCGCTCGTTGCAATCTGATTCCGCGGGGATATCTTTGCAGCGTTCAAAGAGCTCCAGAGAACGAGCAGAGATCCAAGCCTTCAAGGGGCGTCGAGTTAGGCCGCAGCATGACTGTCCGGAAATGGTCATCGCCTTCCGTATACAAGTCCAGTGTTGTTTCACGTCTTACGGTGGATTGCAACTGAGTGCATATGCCATTGAAGACTGATAGCTCGCCTGCACAGAGGAATCAGTTAATCTGTTTACATCAATCTTGCGGTGCTTCGTGTTTCGAGATCCTCCAAAACACATACAGATTTTCGCGCAGACCAGAGCATGATCTGAGTCAACGAAGGTGGACCAAAAGGACCTGCAGTTTAGTACGCTGCCGCGCCATCTGAAGCTAATTACAATGTGATCAATTTGAGACCACGGTTGTGTTGAAGAAGGGGGACGCCACGTTGTGGAACGCTTCTTCGTACGCCTGAAGTTATTGCTCGAAAGAAACAGACGGTTGTCCTCGCACAATGTGAGAAGTCTCTCTCCGTTATCAGAGCGGTTCTCATCGAGCGAGTGATGACCACCAAGATGGCGTTCGTATGGTAACAGGCGGCCAACCCATGCATTAAAATCCCTAGCAAGGATAACGACATCCGAATTTTTAGCATTAGTCAAGAGCTGTTGTGGATCCCGGTAGAATTTGTCCTTGACCGAGTCGCCACTGCAGTCATTTGGAGCGTACACGGAGACCACAAACAAGTTGTGTCTCTCTTCGCGGTGTCTGTTGATTCTACGTGAACCCCGAAGCCGAACTGCACATAGTCGGCTGTTAATAGGGATCCAGTCCAGTAGTGCCGCCTCGGCCTTGCCACTTACTGCTATACCTACGCCAGCCAAACACGCTGAGGCTGCTTCTGGATCTCCAGAAAGACGCAGGTGATATCCGGCTTTGTGATCAGTGGGGGATGTCAATATAAGCACAGTGCTGGGATCTTGCAATCGGGTTTCTGAAAGGCGATAGACATCAATGTCTAGGGAATCTAGGGTGCGGGCCAGACCGGCTTGCTGTCCAATCTGCATGAGTGTCGTAACGTTAAAGCACTTCAGACGGAACGAGAATCGGGGACGAAGGAGAGCCATAGGTTGAACTGCTTGGTCTGCGGCGCAACCGGAATCGCAGCCACATTGTTGACACATGAATCGAGTAACGGAAAGTGAGGATTGTTAACAAACAAACAATTGGCGTGTGATGAAGTGGCGTGAAAGTGAGTAGCAGAAACAGTAGCTGATGAGCACGTTGTAATACAGTCCATGGTTTTGCGAGAGGGCGTGATACTACCCGGTTGCCCAAGCCGAAGTAGGGAGTTGACTTAGGGGACTCCACCCCGAGCCTTTGGCTAAATAACCTACCCGCAAGGCAGCGGGGCGAATTTAGGGAATGGCGCCCACTAGGAGGCGCTGACTGAATGTTCAGTTCTTGCGCCTTTGTTTGGTAGATTACCAAACAGGAGCCCAATACTCCCCATGAAGTCAGCACACCTGCTGGAATACTATGTCCCACCGAGGTGGAACGTTGTCACCGAACACTTTGCTGGAACGGGGTACACCCGAACCACCCAGCTGGCACCACGAGGAGGTAGTTCGGCAAGCCAGCCTAACTATAAACTAGTGATAGAAGTGCCCTATGATACAACGACCTTAACCTTGCTGGTGTCGGCTTCTGACTATGATCGTTCGATAACTTTGTCTGCAAAATGGAATGGAAGATGAGGTCACAAACCGCATAGCAAAAGTTCGGGGTGCATTTGCCAATCTCCACCACCTGTGGCGCAGACGCTACATTACTCTCGCCCTGAAGGGCAGAGTTATATAACACAGCCGTCCGTTCAACTCTCCTATATGATTGTGGAACCTGGCCCATCAGGTCGACAGACATAAAGAGGCTCGTCATACTCGATCATCACTGCCTTCGCAGCTTAGCTCATGTCTGGTGGGAGCACCGCGTGAGCAATGAGCGTGTTCGGCGTCGCTCATTTTGTACAGGAAGAGCGAGTGAACCGGCCAGCACCATTATATCACGCATCAGGCTCCGATGGCTGGGCCACGTATTGCGCATGTTAGCACACCGCCTCCTGCGAAGTACAATATTTGCGCGCTGGGGGTGCGGTTGGAAGAGGAGGAGGGGAAGCCAAGCGATGACTTGGTTGTGAGAAATAAAAACCCTCACTTCGAAGTTGGGGTCAGTTTGTGTGTCCCGACTGCCTGGCTTGGATCCTAAGGATGATGAACACCTTTGGTTGGATACACTAGTGGACCTAGAAAGGAACCGACCTCAATGGCGTTCGTGTTATGAGTTTCTTTGTCCCTCTCCATCCCGCTTAGGTTCCTTTCCAGCCTCGAGCTCCCTCTTGATTCATAATATGTTACTAATTAGTCTGTCGCTTGTCTTTTAAGCATTCTATGATTTTCAGCACCACACTTTTTCCGTTTGTCTTATCTTTATGTATTGCGGCACAGTAGTTGAAATTGTAATATGCGTCCGGTCGAGGATTCCGAGGGCTTCAGATTCCGTGGCGTACGTGTGACCGTAATTAGCCGAAGGTGCTGAAAGGCAAAATAGATACTTCGTCGGCGGCTGGACAACCACCTAGTAAGTGTCGGAGCTGGGTAATCGGTGTGTTTGTGTAACATCTCGTGGCTGGCTGGGCGGTACTGTCACAGATGTCCGTAGAGGACCGAGCGCGAGGCGACTAGTTGGATGGCGTGAAAGCGCACGATAGGTGGTTCCTCCAACGACGCCGGAGATGAACTGGGAAAACAAAGAGAAGAAGAAACGACGATCACAATATAGGCTACGCTCGACGACATCTTACCTGTTAGCTTGCTAGGAAAACAGTGACACGTTACAAAATGTGTTTCTTACCATCATCTTATGTGTATTAACGATGATAATGATAATGTTACGGAGCAAAAGATGACGAGAATCGCTTTTGTATACATTTCCGTATTCTTTGTAGTCATAATTCGTGAACTATACTCTCGTACAGGATAGAGGAACCAAGTATCTGTTAGATTTCTCGTCGTCATCATCATCATCATCCTCATCAGCATCATCATCATCATCATCATCATCATCATCGTGCAATGCATAAAGATAAGGCATACGCAATATGCACACGAAGCACTCCATATATGCTGTAGCTGCAATTTGCTCGATAAGTATACGCTGTTGCGCTTCCATTTCTGTAGACTCCATCACCCCAGACGTATACATTTTGGACGCCAACGGAAATCAGAAGAGATCTGAGCATGTTGCCCTCACGTACAACTCACACGTGACGCTTATCTGCCGGACTCCATCCACAAATCAGGAAATTTTTTGGCATTACTCTGTTTTCGATTCCAATGACTTTACACCCGTTGTGCCTACCAATTACTTGTCTGTTGACCGCACGAAACGGGGAGAGGTTGCTTTACAGTTGAAGCAGGTTCAGTTTTCTATGGCTGGCACTTACCAATGTTCGACAAGCGTGGCTAGTCGCCTGACAAACGTTCACGTCTACGGAAGTGAGTTTGTTTAACAATAATTCTCCTCACGTCTTCATCTCCAGTTACGAACGCAATCGGGGGTTCCGTTAACTTGATTCCGAAACGTGAGGTTGTTGGCCAATCTCAATATCAAACCTACGTTTTCGATCCCACATCTAGTCCGTCAGTCGCATGCCAATTCCGAGTCGGTAGATACGGTATCAAGTATGTGTCAGTCAGGTGGAGAGGGGGAAAATTCGCTACCCACCCAAATCTGTACGACGTTGCCTATTCGTCTGATGAGTTGCACGGTTACATTTGGAGTAACTTAACCATCAAGCATCCAAGTTAGTCTCCATGCGTTTTATGTCGAATCCCAATTGAGGTTTTTCTGTCTTTCTACTGCTCATGCATAGGCCTGAAAAATGAGGCTAGTATACTGAAACATAAACCGAAACTTGTCAGTAACACATGAGACTGATCTATTTGACATTATTTTCGAGCTTATATCAGATAGGTTATGTTACTCTACCTATGTTTCGCACCATTGCAGTAGCTAATCGCACACACATCCACTTATAATAGTAGAGCTGCGAGGTACCAACAATTTTCAATTATCCACTGCTTTTTTGCAACCCGGGCATGCACTCCCATCAGTATCATCGTCATACACAGGGTATTACAATTAACTTGTATCAAAAAAGAGGTAAAACGTAACAGCATAAAAAGAGATAAATAAAACAAATAGCTTATCACTGACGTCGAAATCCTGGTTAGATGGCATGCGCTAAAGAAATTTTCTTAACAAAGGCGCCATCATGGTGGGTTCTTCGTCATGCCGACAAGTGTTTCTAACCGGACGTTTGCATCCTCTTTCAAGTCCCAACCCGACAGTCGAGAGGCTCCAACCGAGGCTAACTCCGCATTCAGTGATTTCATTCATCTTAACCAAGTCCTAGGTTGGCATCCTCTCCTCGGCTTTCATCCACACCCAGTCGCTCAAATAGCGCTTGTGTGGGCATGTGCAACACATGACCAAGTCATCGTAACCTGGTGCTTGAGATAGCGGTTCTGAGTGGATCACTTGCTTTCTATGCACCAACTACATGACTTCGCACAAGCTCATCACTCACATGATGTTCCCATTAGATGTGAGCTAAGACGCGAACACACGTGATCGAACGCTACTATGTTCTTTACGTTTGTCGATGTGACTCGCCAGGTTTCACAACTGTACAGTAGACTATCCTCCATGCGGAAGAGAACGATGTCTCTCTGTCTTCACAAATAGCGAAGTTGAGCATAAGCCTCTCGAGCCTTGGCTACATGGTTCGTGTGATCTATTGCACAGGCGCGTGCATAGTTACCCTGGTAATTGAATTTTTTATGATTTCTAGCTTATTCCAACCACGGGTCAGCACTGGGGGTGGTTCATGCCAAGCTTGGAGCCCAGCTTTGAGGATGCAGAGCACTTCTTGAAACGGTCGGCAGTCAGTACGTATCTGTTCAGTGCTACTTGGTACTTTTGTGAACTCGCACGGATTATGCCAGTGTGGTCTGCATGCTCTATTTACGAAGTCGACCACTTGAAAGCAAATGTACACCTACGTCATTTACATGCGCCCTTTCGTTTACTTCGCGTCTAGTCATCTGCCTATATGTCGTCGCCCTCAAGTATAGACTAAGCAGCGTGCTCAGCGCAGCCGATTTGCCCCCATCTATATTATTCGTAGCAAAACTATGCATCACTGTAGTAGCATGATCCAATCTTTGCGGTGTTACCGGGTCATCTTTTCCCCCGGTATCTTAGGCTGGTGCGTCGAATTAGTAAATAGGTGTAGAGTTGATAAATTAATTCGAGTGATCCCCTCTCTGAGATGCTGGATGACTTGATGTATCCGTCCCGTCGATGCTCAGTTACCAGTAAGCTATGAATCCTTCTTGGATAGCATTGAATGCACGCGCAGTTGTTTTTCTTTAAAAATAATGGCAACTTTTACCAACCGGTTTGCAGCTGTGCACCCAGAGCTAGCAATACTTCGCTGTAATATCGTGTAGTATGCCCATTTTTATTATATATTGTAAGAAGAAACGCAAGCGGTACGCTTAAAGCGAACAATTGTTTTCGATTTATTCATCATCAGGCTTTGTACAGAAATATACGTTGAGAAGCGGAGTTCATAGGGGAAAACAAAGAGTAACTATTGATTGAACAAAACATTTTAAGTGCTTAACGTAACGTGTCAGGTGGTCAGGTGACTGAAGGCATGTGATACCAATGAGTGAAATCCGATTCATCTCTATTACTGGCTGGCCAGGGTAGTTGTAAGGCTTGTACATGTTGCTTCTGAATGCATAGGTTTGATTTTGTCAACCTGATGCATACTGCTTCAGCGGTAGCGAGTAGCCGAGCTCCTGACCGATGGTGTAGCTGTGATGGAACTCGATAGAGGATCTCAAAAGACTTGCGCTTATCAATCAGATGATTGGTGCAGATCAGATGGTTGGTTATGGCACTCAACTGAGTTTTCTCTCGTTGGGTGGCGAGTGACGTTGGTAAATGTTCCTTGATTCGCTTTTCCAAATGTCTGGTCGTGCGCCCAATTTACCCTAGCTGTAAACGTAGTATCTACTCTTCGTTACTCCCTTGCAGTGAGAAACAATGGAAGTACCCGCTGTGTGGTTGGATTGCGACACGCAATCTCTATTGAGACCTCGGTTCACTTCGAAGTAGACTTCGGTCATTCCGATCACAAGGACTGTATCCGAAATGGTGGTATTTCTCTTTCTGATGTAACAGTCCTTTCTGCTGCACCTTGGGAACGGCGTCATCTAGATGTTCACGCCATTGACGGCGATCCACTGCCATTGCTTCCCAATAATTGAGATTAACATTAGCTTGTTATAAACTTACCTTGATCATGTCCTGTTAACGTAACTTTGGTTTACCCACTTTAATCTTTCCTGTGCTAAGTTCATCATAATCAACAGCAGTACATCAGCCACTTGAACTGATGCTTCGCTGCCCTACAACCATAACCAACGGAACGAGGAATAATACGATGGAAATAGGGGGGAATAACTGGGAAGCCTCGATGCCCTAAGCGGACGCTCAGAGTCTAGGCGCCTACACCTGGTTAACAACATACCATCAGAAACAGCTGGATATCGTGCAAAGATAAGGCGGCATCGGCGAGACAGTTTAATTGCGGCTTTCACTGCTCTGCGTCATAATCTGCTATTACCCCGCAGATAACTCAGAATCAAACAGGATTTAAATCGGCAGTCCGACTTGGAGACGGCAGCAGATACGCCACTGGTGCTGACTGCTAGTCATGTCCTGTTAAGTCTCGAACCAAGCACAAGACTAGTCACATGGACTCCAGTCCAGAAGGTGAGACGGATCAACGGCACCCAGTTTGGTCGTCAGTGAGTTCGTTTCCCGCCGCTATGTCAACTTCTGCCCACCTCGAATTTTGTGCCACCCTACACCTGGCAGCCTAAACAAAGCCCTTCTAGCTATGCGGCGATCAGTTGCACGTGCCCAAGACAACGCAACTTAGTATGTGCTACATGTTGTTTTAAAGAGGTAGCATGGTTAGCACTGCCCAGTACGCCTAGGCACATCCTCGTTGCGGACGCGCTGGTGCAATCCGACACCAGCAATGCTCCGCAGACAACAATGATCAAAGACTTGAAGTCTCCTCAGATCTTCAGACCGGAGAGCTCAAGTCTCACTACCATAGAGCAGGATGGCCCTCACTGTGGTCTTGTATACATGGCCTCAGACGGAGCGAATGTCCCTTCTGACGCGAAAGATGGCGCAGGTTCAAAAATGCAGTTCTGGCTTTTGCACTACGTTAACTGGCTTCAGTTGCTATACGCCCATTGTTGCCGATACAGCTGCCAAGGTAAGTGAATTGATCAACCACCTCTAGTTCCTCGTTATCAAGGTTCAAGCGGTCATGAAGTGGCTGGTACTCCTGTTACAGCACTTTACACTTTGATGGTGCAAAGCGCATGCTAAAGGATGGGACCACTGCGGAGTTATTCGGGGTTGATTGCGTCGCCCCAACGTCGTTGAACAGCAGGACGATATCTTTCGCGCAATCACGATCAACTTGCCTTTCACCAGGCGGCAATTCTACGCCTACATCGGAAGGTTTCGCAATGAAACACTCTATGATTGAGTCCACAGAGAAATTGTATGAAAATGGGGAAGTTGCACGACCATGACGTAGCCACTTTTTGTCTTATAGATGTCTGACAAATCACCGTAGACCCTGATGCGGCCTGCGGTGTTCCAGTATGCGGCACGTACAATGTTCACACATTTTTTGGGAACACCTTTCCGTCCGAGTATTTTGAACGAAGTGCTTCCATCGACTGACTCAGACGCACTCTTGAACTCAAGCAGAACAGCTATTGTCGGTCTGCAGTTGCGTCACGCTGCTCTCGCACCTGCTTCAGAGTGAATATATATTCTATACAACCACATCCTGGACAGAAATCTGCCTGCTGTTCCTTAAAGCGTGATTCCCGTTCCGCAATGAGGGGACGAATGAGAATTGAAGCCAGTAATTTTGTCACAACTAACGTTTGGCTACTATCTCTTCGGTTAGCACAGTCCGTGCGGTTGACCCTCTTGAATATTACCACTATAATCGATTCACTCCAGATCGCCGGGAAGGTCTCCTCCTTCCAGACACGTTAGAACGGAAAGGCCATTGCTTTGCAAAGGACCTCACCTCCATCGTTAAACACTAACGGTACGTGGGGACCCGAGCCATCAGCTCGTAAACAGCTGAGGCCTGTGGTCCCGTTTCGGACCTCAGCCTCCGTCCATGGCTAAACCTGCATCTCCTGAGTAGGAGGAGGTCTAGAAGTAGGAGGATAACTGAACTTATCTTGACTGTTCCCCACATTTAGACATACGGCGCCCTTTACTGTGAATCAAGGTACCTGCGCTGTGTCTGATTGTTTCACTGACGCCTGGTTTTCTGGGACCAGTGACGCGGACAGGCTGGAAAAGCTTGCGATAGTTGCCTACTGCATCTTCCTCTTTCCTTTCTTGAGTCCGACTGGTTCACCAGGCTTTCTTGTCAGAACTCAGGCTCGGCTTTAGTTCGCGCCTAATAGTTCTCCTGCTTACACTGTGCACAGACCCCGCAGGGAGGTTTCTTCTGGATTCCAGCAGGTTCACCGACCTCGGATATCCCGTGACTGATGCGGCGACGATTGATAGCGCCACAAGCGGAAGTTCCTGCATGACGGCCGGAATCCTATTCCTCTGAAATTCAGTGTCATTAGGACTAGAGAGCGAAAATTTGGTACCCACGGCATCCTG